CACACACACACACAGTGGAGACATTTACTGGCAGTCCCACTGAAGCCTTTAAACCTTCTCAGAGCCTTTAACTCTCAAGTCGGCCTCAGATCTTCAAACAGAAAGTTTGAGTCAATTCCCATGGCCCTCACAGAATCTCAAGTAAATTTCTGATTCAAGTGAAACCTCGGTCCGGGCCGGTGTCATCGATACCCAACACACACACACACATATAAAGACACAGCAAACCCTCTCTTTTCCCCCAAGGCGTTCAAAACCACTTCTCTGAATAATTCACCGGGTCTGCTTTGTCCATCGATCCCTCGCTGCACCTCTCACTCACGCAGACACATCTTTCACTTAACACACCAGGCCAGGACCGGCATAATGGGCCCCTTCATCACAATTCATCACTGCCGTGGATTCCTCCTCCTTCCCTCACCAATACCTTCTACAGGTTGAACAGCAGGCTGTGTTCTCTCTTGTCCTTGTTGTTTGCATCATAACAAAAACAAATAAAATGTCAAGTGAGTCAATCTCACGTCGTCTAATCTCTTTTACTGCCTTTGCCCTCAAGAAGTTTCAAAATTTTCTCATAACACAAAATTTCTTCATAACACAAAATCACTCTAAATGCTGTTATCGGAGCCAAAAGCAATTATTAGGATTTATTTTGAGCCTGCTTTAATAATTCAAACCGATATCAGTTCCTCCAAACACTTCAAAACCGTTTCAATATTTAGCACAGACGTTGAAGCTCATAATGATCTTGCCGTTCTTTTGAAGATATTCTCTCACATTCCCCGGCCTGCTTCTTGAATGATGCGTTCACTGACTTTCATCTCCTTTGTGCGGCTGCACGCTGACCCTGTATCTCAGCAACAGACATCTCTTTCTTTACATTCATCAACCCAGCAACATTACCCATAATCCACCGTGGTCCAGCTATTTCGCTTTCATGGTGATATGGCACACAGCAAAACAAAATCCCGAAATACATCAGAAGGCAAAATCCAGTAAGTTCAGACAAGAACAGAAAACCCTCCTTCTCCCAGATCTCCATTACAATAAAGATTTTATGATTTGTTAACTATCCAGAGGGACATGGTCCGGATGTGGCTTCAAATACTCTTTACATACAATAAATAAATAAATAACTAATAAATAAATAAAGCTCATCTAATCTTTTTCCCTTTTTGAGAAATTCTGGATATTCGCTCGTAACATGCTTAGTGTATTTTCAAAATAAACTACCGTCCTTACAGGACATTTAGGTTTAGGCAACAAAACCACTTAGTTGGGTTTAGTGACTCACGTGATTAGAGACGCTATCAACTGTTGTGATAACATGTCCACTTTAAGGGGACACGAAAGTCGTGTGTCTGGAGGATTCGGGTTTCTTGGCCAGCTTTTACATATTGGACAGCGATTGGCTTTCGAGTTTGAGAAGAACCAAATCCAGTTTACCTGATGAATCTCAGATTTTACAGAGGTGCACAAAGATCTTTCTTTGTCCCACAAAGTGACATCTGATGCTTCCCAACAAAATACATTTCCTTGCCCAAAGAAATTATTTCTCCAGCAATTTCAATGTCAGAGAAGGAAGTGGCAGACACAGAAAACAATTAAACAAAAGCCCGGGAACTTGGCATGTAAAAGCAGCCGCCATTTTCTTACCGGTCATCCTCTCTGTATTCAAAATCAGTCTGGTTGACTCGGTGGAGTGTAGGGAAGAGGAAAATGAAGAAATGGAATTGGAAGGATTTGTTTCATCCAACAGAAAAATCAGCATGACACTGATTTTGGAACGTAATAAGCCAAATGATTTAAGTGTTTTTATTCACCAAAATGACTTTTAGAGCAACGGTGTGTGTGTTAAGAGTAGTCATACATGCTCACGCTGTCAACCATAGTGATGCTCGCGATGTATTAGGTTTCATAACATCAGAATACTAAAACCGTTGTACGTTCGCAGTAGTAATGAGGTGCCACAGATCATCCTCTTTTTGACACCCAATGAATGTTAATGGCTCTGATTTCAGCAGCATGCGTTGCGTTGGAAGAATTCATGTGCAGAGTGTGACATTTCCAATCTTTATTCAGTCCAGTTAGTCCCAACAGATCTTCACACCATCCCAATCTTTTCCACTCAAAATGATAAAGAAAACAAAGAAAACCAGAAACAAACACACCTTGGACAGTGAGAGCTTTTCTGCAAAATTTGGCATATGTATATTGCATTATTACAGTTTTACAAACAAATGTACAACAAATACATCATAAATCGACTCTTTATTGTGAGACAGTGGGGAGCCAGCTTGCGTGGGGTGTTTTCTTCTTCTTGTGCCTGTACGCAGACGTCTGAGCCGTGACTTTCCTTTACGAGGAGTAC